AGAGAGAGAGAGAGAGAGAGAGAGAGAGAGAGAGAGAGAGAGAGAGAGAGAGAGAGAGAGACAGAGAGAGAGAGACAGAGAGAGAGACAGAGAGAGAGAGACAGAGAGAGAAAGAGAGAGAGAGTGAGAGGGCAGAAGCGGGAGCAGGGGGGAACGGGGCAGGCAACGGGAGTGGCAGCGGGAGCGGGAGAGACAGCGGAAGCGGAAGCGGGAATGAGAACGGGAGCGGGGGAGGCGACGGGGGTGGGAGCGGGGGAGGCAGTGGGAGGCAATGGAAGGCAGCGGGTAGTGTGTGTGTGTGTGTGTGTGTGTGTGTGTGTGTGTGTGTGTGTTTGTGTGGGTGTGGGGGGCTTCTCGTGCAATTTTTTTTTAATATTGATTACTCAAACTGAACAATCAATCAGTCTATCAATCAATGAGTTTCCCTGTGTTTTCTTTTTCTCTTTTTGTTTTCTTCGTTTTTTTTTTTTTGCCATGATTTGGTCGTTTTTTTTTTTTTTGCAGGGTCGTTGGCCCCTGCCCCGCTACCCAGTACACCCCACACCCCAAACCTGCTGCCACCCAGTCCTCCCCACACCTCAAACCTGCTGCCCCCAACAAATCAGGGTTTCTGCGCGAACGCTTGAAAAACATTCAACCTCGTTCAATGAACGTGCGTTCAACGCGTTCGAAAGTTGAACGAGAAACGCGCGTTCACTGAACGCGGGGCAACATAGACTGTCCTACATTGCCCGAACCTATTCGTGGACAGCTCGAGCCGAAGCAAAGTTCGGTACCTATAATTATCGAGAGTTTCGTGACCTCGCGCTACAAACGGAGCAAATGACTGCACATGTGAAAGACATCTATGCGTCCGTTGTTCGAAGTACTCCATTAGCACAAATGGTTAACAGGTACACCCACGCTACTGACGAAGCAAATGACTACAATTGGAAAGACATCTATGCGTCCGTTGTTCGAAGTACTCTATTTACTTTTTGTCCACAAATGGTTAACAGGTACCCTCACTTTTTACCGCTAGGGTAACCCTCACAACCCTGAAAAGTACAGTGGGAATCATGTTTTTTTTTTTTTTTGCCCTGTTTTGTTTTTGGTGAAGCTTTGTATGTGCCAAGTTTGGTGTTTGTTGGGTTCATGAAGATGGTGTTTTTGGGTAGTCTTGAAAATCGTGAAAATCGACAAATTGAAATGTTGGTGAAATTGTATGAAAGTGCACTTTTGACTTGCTGTTTTATATGTTTTTAATTATTTTTTTTTCGGTTTTCTTTTTAGAATAAGTTAGTAAGAAGTGCACTCTACATAAATGGCCCTTTGGTTTTCTTATAAATGAGGGTTTGGTTTTCGTATAAATAATGGTGAAAATTGGGAGGTCGGTTAACCTTCTGTCTTCTTCAGGTGAGTTTAGGAATCAGAAAAGTATCATGTTGAGGTAGACGAGATAGCATCACACCCTCGTCATTTTTGATGATGATACAATAGAGAAGTGGTTAATGGAGCGTGCAGCAAATGGTAGCGACGAGTCTGAGAAGGTTGATGTCGCCGCCATGGTGGCAAACATGGGTGACACCAATCAAGGAGGATACAAGAACAAGAAGAGGTCACGCTAGAGTATCCCAACATACTAGTAGAAAAACCGTTGGAGAAGACCAACCTTACACGAGAAGAGCGGCATGAGCAGATGAGTAATCGACAGTGCCTTAAATAAGTCACAACAGAGCATATCATCGCATTATGTCCCGTCATCAAGAACCCAAAAGGGCGCAGCTACTAGGAGTAGGGTCTGCTCCTACTTAGTTGGAAAGTTCAGACAAAAGGTAAGGCGTTTGAAACCTCTTTCATCCTTTCAATTCGCATGGCAGGGAATGATTCTTCTTCGGCCCATCGTCCTGAACATCATTATACTGTGTTGTGTTTTGTTTCTTTGGGCGATACTCGTGATGAACTTCGTGATGAATTGATTGCGTTAAGGAGTTCATGGACTCAAAAAATTTTGCTAACATCGATATTACACACACACAAGTAAGTGTTTCGTTAGATTCTGGGTCAACGTGGTCCCTTTTAAAAAAAGACAAGAAATAAATTGCATATGGAAATGAGAGTGATGAAGCTTCTGCGACCTATCACGTTTATGCTCGCGGATGGAAGCAGATTTACTGTTTCTCAATATGTTAGTCATGTAAAATATTATTTTGGAATGACGGAAAGAAAAAAAAATACGAGATGGAGTTACCTTCCTTATAGAGAAAGAGCTACCCTTTCACTTGATTCTTGGAATGGATAGGCACGAGAGGGCAGATCTAGATATGCAGTTCGAAAATAAAATTATTATTGTGAAGGATAAAAATATAATTATGAAATTAATTAAATTGGTTTACAAGTCTGATTATGAATCATCACTATCTTTCTGTTGTATGATTCTTCATTCTTTTCGAAGCATAGATACAACGAAGAAGTTGCAATACGATGTGATTATGGTGCTCGTAAAATGAGTCGCTAAATATTTTTCGTCCTATCCTTCTTCTATTGAAAAACATTTTCATGAATTTAAGGATTTGTAGACTGAATCAATGGGAGTAAGTGAACATGCTATTAAATACACGACTCAGATCATTTGGAAAACAAAGATTCCCAAAGGATCCATCAACCGAATGTTTCTTCGGGAATTGGAAAAACTGAAAAAATAATTGTAAGAACTTACTGAAAAATGATGGATTCGGCCAATTTCGTCTCCTTACGGCTCTCATGTCTTATTTGTGTCCAAAAAGAAAGGACAACTTAGACTGTGCATAAAATATTGAGGGTTGAATTTCGTTGCCGAAAATAATGCAGAACCTCTTCCTCGCATTCATGACTTGCTTAATACACATTTCGTAAAAAATGAACTTTTTGTCAAAAGGTGAACTATTTCGACTGCGAATAAGCACTCAGTACATGGCCCAATTGGGCATCATGTGACATTTTAAATGGTCAGTATATGAGACGTTGACATAACAAATGTTGGGGCAGGGCGTTTTGAGCCATTCATACATGAATAGTCGTTATTAAATGCGAATTAACACAGTGTAAAAAAGGGCAGGGGCTCTTTGTATGACACCTTGACAATGTTGTCCTGGCTTAGTCTTGCTGTGACAGACAGTACACGATTCAAAAGGGCATCGTGTTGGGTATGTGGTGCCTGTTTTCCATAAAAGGTCAAGGGTCCGGCGCCCGACACCTTGCAAGTTGATGGACTGAACCTGTCAACTGTGGTCGGGCAGAACACCCAGCCTGGTGCACGACATTTGGCAAGTTGAACCCGCAACCCGTCAGTACCCCTGCAATAATTGTGTCCATCATTTATCTTTCCGGAAGGACCTGGAGTCCTTCTCCGGTTGACAAATAGTAGTTCAACACTGTCACCGAATGATTCGGGAGTTAGTGGTGTTCAACAGAGCACCTTAAGGAAGTGGCAAACAGTTGTTCATTGTCGATGCCGATTGCCAATAGCACTGTTAGGGGGCCTTGATCCTCGTTCCTTATCTGTTTGGCGATCGAGCAGAAGTGTGAAAGAGTCATTGGTTGTCTGTGTGGATTGTCATTAACACTCTTAGGGAAACTTGATGCGAGATCTGATTCCAGGTCGTCTGTGTATGTGTGTGTGTGTGTGTGTGTGTGTGTGTGTGTGTGAGAGAGAGAGAGAGAGAGAGAGAGAGAGAGAGAGAGAGAGAGAGAGAGAAAAAAAAAAAAAAAATCCTTGCTTTAACCCGGAAAGGAATTGACAGAGCAGATACCGGTTTGGTGACTGAGCATCTTCAACAAGTGTCAAACAGTCGACGTGCGGATGGCCACGCACACTAAGGGAACCTTGATGCTGGGTATGGATTTGCTTGCCGCAGGTTAGCAGTTGCTGGGCAGTCTTGGATGCTGAAGTTCGCCACAAGGGGAAGGTTTGATGGTCTGTGGTGGGACTTCCTGTTGGATTTGGATCTGTTTCGAGCAGAGTTTCGCACTCAAGAAACAGAATTGAACTCCAGATCCCGCAGGTTAGCAGTTCTTGGACATTGCTTGTGGTGTTCTCGGGGTACACACCACAAGTCGGAGTGAACTCTCATTTAGATGGACAACATGAACGCACACCACTGGCTTAGTGTTGTTGTGGCAGACAGTACACGATTCAAAAGGGCATCGTGTTGGGTATGTGGTGCCTGTTTTCCATAAAAGGTCAGGGGTCCGGCGCCCGACACCTTGCAAGTTGAAGGACTGAACCTGTCAACTGTGGTCGGGTGGAACACCCGGCCAGGTGGACGACATTTGGCAAGTTGTCCGTCAGTACCCCTGCAACAAATGTGTCCACCATTTATCTTCCTAAAAGGACCTCCTTCTCCGAATGACAGATAGTAGTTGAACACCTAATGATTCAGGCGTAAGTGGTGTTCGACAGAGCACCTTAAGGAAGTGGCAAACAGTCGTTCGCTCTCGATGCCGATTGCCACTAGCACTGTTCGTGAGAGAGAGAGAGAGAGAGAGAGAGAGAGAGAGAGAGAGAGAGAGAGAGAGAGAGAGAGACCTGGAAAAACATTGACAGATACTAGTTGAATAGCGAATCAATTCGCAGATATCGGTTTGATGACTGAGCAGAGGTCTGTGCGGATGGCCACGCACTATAAGGGAACCTTGGTCTATGGCGGGACTTCCTGTTGGGTTAGGATCTGTTTCGAGCAGAGTTTCGCACTCCAGAAACAGAATTGAACTCCTGATCCCGCAGGTTATCAGTTATTGGACATTTGCATGGACAACCAGCGGATTGCTCGGGGTACACACCACAAGTCGGAGTGAACTCTCATTTAGATGGACAACATGAACGCACACCATCAGCGCGGTGATACAATACGGATGCTGGCTTGTCATTTGCATGGACAAATCAATAACATAGATTCCTAACATTCACTCTTGTCATCGCAAACATCGATCCTCTCCTTGACATGAGCATGTATAAGACTGTAAGACATTGGCATGAATATCGGAAATCGAAATACTTCTGTCATTTCTTTGCATGAACAAGATACATAACATCCATTCAGAACATTTACTCTTGTCACCGCAATGTGGAGATGGAAACACTCGCAACATGCATAGTCTTTTCCTAACACTGCACCATCGTAAATGGAAACAGTGTACGCAGAGTTGCGAGAAATGTTCAAACCACTGAACCGCACATTGCAAAGTAGACAGGGGTTGTTTCCGGAAAAACAATCGAAGCAAAAAACAAGTAGTAGATAGAGGTTTGAGAGGCGTTGCAATAGGTGCCAAAGACAACGTGTATGAAGTAGTACATAGAGGTGCGAGAGGCAATAGTTGCAATAGGTGCGAGAGGCAATAGTTGCAATAGGTGCGAGAGGCAACGTGTATGGAGTAGTAGATAGAGGTGCGAGAGGCAATAGTTGCAATAGGTGCGAGAGGCAACGTGTGATTGTCTGCATATCCACCATTTCAAGGTGCACATGCACATCATGTTCCACAAGATTGTATTTTAACATGTTTTCCCTTAAACACAAAGTCATAGAAGTACACGACACGACATCGCAAGACGACGTAACATCGCGACACAACACAAGATAGTTGTAAAACCAGAGGAGTTCATTAAAATTACAATCGCCCTTAAACACAAGGTCTGACCACACGTCCGTATCTTGTGACATACGGGGTTTCTTGCGGACGAGGTCGTGAACCGAAACCATACATGGCATTCATAGATGATCGATATACGTGGCTCTGCGGTTCGTGGACACTTGCATTCTCCGAAAACACGGACATGTATTTCATCGTGACAAACCCTCCTGATCGTGCTAAGGAATTCCCTATACAGTCTCGTATGTCGGACACTTTTTCTTCCACCTCATGCCACAATGATAAACATCTGACCCGACCTGCTCTCACGAAATCTGACCGCCCATCTACATCAGGAGGAGACATTACGGGCTTGAACTTGGATCCATGAAGTACCATCTTGTTCCGTGCCACGAGCACAACTGCATCCACGAGTTTTCTACTTTTGTTTGAAGAAGCCACACATAATACACCCGTCATCAGTCAACCGCACACAACATGTTTTCCCTTAAACATAAGTTCTGACAACCCGTCCGGACCTTGTGACATATAAGGTTTCTCGCGGACGAGGTCGTGAACCGAAGCCATACATGGCATTCATAGATGATCCATATACGTGGCTCTGCGGTTCGTGGAAAGTTCATTCTCCGAAAACACGGACATGTGTTTCATCCTTATAAACCCTCCTCATCGTGCTAAGGAATTTCCTATACATTCACGTATTTCAGACGCTTTCCCTTCCACGTCACGCCACAATGACAAAAAAACTCTTACCTGACCTGCTCTCACCAAGTCTGACCGCCCATCTACATCTGGGCGAGACATGACCGCCTTGAACTTGGATCCCTGAAGCACCATCTCAGTGCGTGACACAAGCACAACCGCATCCACAAGTTTCTTACTTTTGCTTCAAGAAGCCACACATAGCACTCTGGCGAAAGGACATCCGTCATCCGTCAACTGCACACAACAGTACGATAGAGCTTGTGGAGAAGTCCTTGGGCAACGGGGTGGGTAGTGTTCCAAGAATGAACAATGACGAGCGCAGTCCACCAACTCTTGCTTCTGCCAGTTTCCCCAAATTCGTGGCGAAGATGTGATGTACTGGCAGCCGAGGCGACGTCTGAAGCTGGTTCGGTAGCGGATCGGTTTACCCTTATCGTCCAGGGTCTTTCGCTGGAGGACAGCATCAGGCAGTGCAATGAGGCTCCTGTACTCTAACATATTGGCAAACTTGTAATGGCTTGCCCAAGGGCAGGCACGCTCCATCGCCTTCCAATCATTATCGTTCCATTCGTCGAGATGCCGGTTCATGTACGGTTTGACGGGTATCCATGGGTCCTCGTCGAAGTCGAAGTCCTCGTTGGCTGCTTTGTCGATCCACGTTTGACCGTCATGATGCCACACCGTTGTCGCACAAGATGAAAACGGTTTTGCCAAGCGCATGTGCTTCTCGGGACTCAAGCGCATGTGCGTCTCAGGACTCACGTTGATGCTTGTCGAAGGTCTCGACGACATTACGCTCCCTACACATCACGGGCACACAAACGACACAAACGAACGTGTAGACCGTCGTAAATAAATTTGTCCAATGATAAGTCCCCTGGTGCGGCCAACACTCAACCGTCACGCCCGCACTTTATATCGACAAGCTCGTCACTTAATCAAAGTGTGAGTGAACTCTCACTTACGTGCGAGCTAACCCTCACTTAAGCAAACTGCGAGTGAACTCTCACTTAAGTCTGACCACACGTCCAAATCTAGTGACATTCTGGGTTCCCCGGGGACGAGGTCGTGTACCGAAGCCATACAAAGCACTCATTGATGATCCGTACACCTGGATCTGCGGTTCGTCGACTGATGCACTCTCCGAAAAGATGGACATGTATTTCATCCTGACAAACACTCCCGGTCGTGCTAAGGAACTCCCTATACAATCCCGTATATCGGACACTTTCTCCTCGACCTCATGATGCAATGAAAAGTTTTGGACCGACCCTGCTATAGCCAAATCTCGCCACCCATCTACACGTTCAGGCCCGCGCGTCGGCACGAATTTGGACCCGTCAATTACCACCTTGTCGCGTGATACAAGCACAACTGCATCGACGAGTTTCCTGCTCTTGTTCGACGTAGCGACATATAGAACTCTGGAGAAATCAGACCCGAACACTTTCAATCGCACACAACATTATGACACAACTTGTGGAGAATTCCCGGGGCACCAGAGCGGGTACTGGTCCAGGAACGAGCAGTGACGAGCGCAGTCCACCAACTCTTGTTTCCGCGAACCTCCTCAAGTTCGTGGCAACGACCTGACGTAGTGGCACTCGAGGCGGCTGAAATGGCGGCTAATGCAGCCCAGTGCTCTGCGTATATGGTTCAGGAACTTGTGTCCGAGGATAGCGTCAGAGAGTGGGATGAGGTTCCCGAACTCCAACATGTTGGCGAATTTGTACTGGCTTGCCCAAGGGCAGCGACTCTCCATCGTGGCCCAATTCCCATCGCACCAATGGTCAAAATGTTCGTCCATGCATGGGACGACGGTCATCTAGGGGTCCTCTTCGAAGTCCTCTGCGGTCGCTTCGCGGATCGTAGTCACACCGTTGAAATGCCGCACCAATCTCACGCAAGGAGGAAACATTTCTGCCAAGCGAATGTGCGTTTCGGAACTCATGGTTTGTGGTGTCGAGAAGATCGACTCAAAGATTCGTGGTGTCGAGAAGGTCACCTCCATTACGCACCCTATACGCCACGCGCACATACCAAACGATACACATGGGCACGACAATGTGTATGAACACAGTTGGTGAACGGGAACTGCGGTGGCCACGCCCACACGCAGTCGTCAAGACATTCACTCAAGCGGATTGCTCGGGGTCCAGAGCACAAGTGCGAGTGAAGTCGCAGTTAGATGGAGAGACAGGTGGTCACACCGCTGAAGTGGAATGCTCGTGGTGCACACAGCAAGTGCGAGTGAACTCGCACTTAGATGGAGAGATAGGTGCGCACACCATGAGCTCATTTGTGTAATGTATAAGGAAATCGGTGTGTAACATCCGTTCATAACTTTCACTTCTACCGATGACGACAGGCCGGTGTGTATATGCGTTCATTCAAAGTTCGAAAAGGCGACCCGAACGTAAGACACTGCGGCGCATCGACTAGAGCATCTTCCGCGAACATAGAAATATATTTCATGTGAATGAACCCGGTCCTTCCGGCCAGAGACCTCCCTATAGCATCCCGTATAAAGGACGCTTGAGCTTCAACCTCACGCCAAGCGTCCACATCGTCCACCTTGCCCCCGATTACCAAATCCCATGTCCCTTCGTATTCTATTGTGACCAAACTGATAATGTCTCTCCCGAGGTGCAACTCATTCCTGGACACGTAGACCACAGCGTGAGTCAAGGTCCTACTCCGATTCGAACAC